AAAAAAAAAAAAGTGTAGGCTACATGATGGAAAAAAATGACCGCATGTTTACAACTTAAAGTGGACAAGTTCAATCAAAGATGGCGTTTGGTGAAATTATATTTGGGTGTATGATTTTGGGCTGTAGTGAATTGCAATCTGCTCTGTCATCTATTCTTTTGTATTTGTATATGTCTATATACAGGTATGTATACATGTATGTGTGTATATATTATATAAGTATATTTTGTTGTTGGTTTACTTTATGTTGCATATTTGGCCAGTATATGTGAATATACAGGTATGTATACATGTATGTGTGTATATATTATATATATATATATTTTGCTGTTGGATTACTTTATGTTGCATTTTTGGCCTGTGTGTGGGCACCCTGGTGTGGGTTTGTGTGTGTGTGTGTATACATATGGTAGTGTGTATGTGCAGTTTTCTCTTTTAGGGCATTCAAAGTTTCAGGGATCTGGTTTATTGTGCTGCATTTAGTTTGAAATATTGTATATGTGGCATCAGTATTTCTGTTATTGATTTTATTGCTCTTGGCCAAGGGAATGTTCGTTTGTTGTGAAAATTCTTGAAAATAAAAAGTTCCAAAAAATAAATAAATAAATGAAAAATGACGCCATACTTTCTGTTCTCATTTTGAATGCGCAAAAAAACCCCAAACTCATCAGATTAATTTACAATGACGCAGCACATAATCAATCTAACACTGTCTGGTAATTAGATAAAACTTTAATCCTCATAAATATTTAAAACAACTAATTTAATGCATCTGAAAGTGTCGATAACGTGCAGAAATCCTCAGTTTTAACAGCTTTTTTCCGTCTTTTTGGTGCTTTTTCATTCCAATTCCCCCTTTTTTTCATGTGAGAAGTTGTTTGTGTGTTAGGATTTTTGCACCAAAGAGAAGACGACCCGTAATGAGGTGGATTTATGAAGCCTCGGTGTGAGGGCTCACAAAGGTCGCCCCGGTTTGTGGATGAAACCCCTGAATGGTTTTCCATCTGAGGCTAACATCATAACCCGGTGATTGATGCCCACATTATGGGGTGGCAGGTCCCCGTTTCTGCACATTCAGCCGCATTCAGAGTTAAAAAGCTCCTCTGATCTTAAGTTAGTGAGCCAATTTGAGTCGAATTCATAAATATTTAACATTAAATATGGTTTTCTCGCTACTTTTCTTTAATGCAAAGTGCAGAATAACACAATTCGAAGTTTCCCGACGCGTCTAAAAGGCTTTTGTCTTAATCTAGATCACAAATATTTTGATTTATTTTGGTCTGAATTCATACAGTTAGCTTGTTTTTCAATTTATCTTTACAGGAGAAGTTGGCAGCAGAGTGAAACATCTATTTATGTCCCAATTTGGACATGTTTCCTTCACAAATAGCACTAAAAAACACCAGTCAAATCCTTAAAACAACAAGTCGTTTGTGATCTTTGTGCTTACTGTCAATGCCGAGTGATTTTTTAACTCTGTCCACAAACTTTCCCAGCCATTTTTCCACTAATGACGATCATCAGATGCAGAAGATGCTGTTCATTTTATCCCTTCTGATCTGAAGTTGATGCACCAAGTGGGATTGATTTAAACTGGAGAGGGAACACCAAAGACCAGAGCGATAATCCAGGAATAGGAAATAAGAATCAGAGGCTCCTTATTCAGAGTTTGGTACTCACGTGTGAAGGAGAACAGCACAGGTGGGACGAGGAGGAGCAGAAACGTGAGGCCAAACATGGTTCTGGGACTTGTTTCCTTCCTCCGTTTGCTGTTCGGTTCTTTGGCAGCTTACGCACGAGAAGCCGAACGACTTCTGAAAACAAAAGCGGAGTCTTCTGTCTGCAGACGGAGAAAGAGGAGGAGGACTTCCACCGCTCAGGTCCAAAGCTTTTGGCTCCTCCCCCGTTTTCCCACACAGCCAAAAGTCATCCCAGGCACTCCCACAAAGCAAACCAGCCCTCTGAGCATCGGAGGGTTTTAGTGCCCTGCTCTGGGTTTCTCATTAGTGGATAAAATGGCTGAGAAAAACTCTGTGGACAGAGTTAAAAAAATAACTCAGCATTGACAGTAAACACAAAGATCAGAATCAGAATCAGAATAAGGTTTATTGCCAAGTAGGTTTTTAGACTTACAAGGAATTTGCCTTGGTGTTTAGTGCACAACACAACAAAAACAAGAAAGGACATACAATGTAGAAATAAAAATATAGAATAAAATAAAATAAATAATAATAATAAATAATATAATAAATAATATTGAAGCAGGACATACAATGTAGAAATAAAAATATAGAATAAAATAAAATAAATAATAATAATAATAATAAATAAAATAAAATATTGAATGTCCAACGACAGACCAGAAAATGTTGAACGTAGCATTGGGTAAATTAGTGGGGTAGAGGGGGGTGAGAGAAGAATAGGTGGGGGTCGCTGGTCTTGTTGATGAGACCAGTTGCTGCTGGATAAAAACTGTCTTTATGGCGTGAGGTTTTGGTCCTGATGGTCCTCAACCTTCTGCCAGAGGGGAGGCACAAAAGACACAAAAAATCACAAAAGACTTCTTTTATGGATTTGACTGATGTTTTAAGTGCTATTTGTGAAGGAAACTGCCAGGAAGGTGGATCTTGATGGAGGACTCAGGCGCAGAGATGCAAAAAACAGGGTTTATTGTAACAAAAACAGGTTGAAAAACAAGGCTGTGGCAAAACTATGAACAAAGTAACAAAGCAAGGTTAACAAAACTGTGGCAAAGTATCAAAACAAGACTGTGGCAAAAGTACAAACAAACGAGATTAACATGGCAGTGGTCAAACAAGGCTATGGCAAAGTAACAAAGTAAAGATTAACAAAACTGTCCACATGGGGGTAGAAAACTTGTGGACAGGTCCTGTCTCTTCAAACAGCCTCACAGCTTCGTCTCATTGAGGCAAAAAACAGGATCTCACCTTCAGATCAGCAGCTGACTCGCCAGATTCATTAGATTTTTATTGATTTCCTCAGCTGTGGCCACTCAGACACACATTCTCCTCTCAAGAAAGATGTTGGTCGAGGAATTTGACTCATCCGATGGCGTTTTATGTCATTTTGTGCGGAAAAGCTTGATAATGTCAATAATTGACGTAATATATATACATATATATATGTGTATATATATAATTATGTCAATTATTGACATTATCAATATAACTTATTTTATATATATATATATATATACATATAGTTATTTATGTATATATTTATCTGTATTCTGTGTGGAATTTTGTATATATGTATATATGCATAGACATGTACAGTGGGGGAAATAAGTATTTGAGCCCTTGCTGATTTTG